GCTACGAATGACTAGACTCACTGGCGATGCCGGCGATACGCCTGTGAATGTACCACGTCCATGGTCCGACTTTGGAAATGATTATTCATGCAATGGACTCCGGACTAGGTGCCTTCCTCTAAGGCTTCAAACCAATATGACCAAGTTGCGAAAACAAGGTCAAACAACCTCCGCCATGATTTAACAATTCTTACATCAATTTGTAGACCTAATGTGATCACAATTATTATTCAAAATGTTTTCTTTAAATGTGTAATCCATGGCTCACATATATGTAACTTCTTGCGAAAAACAATTATTCTGTCCTCAAAAGTTTCAATAACTTTTATAATAGATCCATTACAAACTCGAACCGTACCAAGATGCATAACTTGTGATTCGCTTGATTAATACTTATGGTATTTTAATTTAGTCAACTGATATCTTCCTACTGTTTGTTTGAATATTTTTTCCGGTTTTTATTTTAAATAGCTGTTGCTCTCTCAGTAGGCCTGCACCAATTGAATTCTCATAGATATGGTAGCCGTTTACTAAAATGACGGACTTTTAAAAAAACATGTAAACGCAAATTCCTAATTAGGATTCGATTTTGGTTTTCCAAATTTTTATTAGATCTTTAATTATATTCTATTATCCAGAATTTATGGTATCATTTCTTATGATAATTTATAATTGCTGATTTTCCGTGTTTATTTTTCTCCTCCACCATTTGTATTAGGTTGACTAAACTTGAGGCCTCGCTGCTTCATACCAAGCAGATTTTCAGTGAAGCGAGCGCCGATATTTCTCACCAGGCTTCTATTCTGCGAGCTGATAATCCCCTCGGACTTTCTGTGGGCCCATTGGATCCGCGACACCTAGAGAATCCACATCTTCTTTTTTTAGGTCCACCTGCTCCTGTACTCGATTTTATTGAAGGTCCTATGGTCGGACCTCCGGATTCGAAACATACTCCAGAGCAGCATCCGACTCCGAAATCATCAGTCGATGATAGCCGGCCACCTCCTGCCAACAGTCCAGTGTTGGTCTTGCTAGATGATGAAGACTCTGGGTGCATAGGGCACTCGTCACTTTTTCATGCTTTGCCTTCAGCGTCTGAGCAGCGCGCAGCCCTCTCGGGCTCTTCCGGTCCTAATTCCTCTTTAGTCGATGATTTATTTGGACCTTCTCTTGAAGAAGGATTGCCTGCCCCACTACTTCCCGCAGTCTCCAATGCTTCAATCTTTCATGGGAATGCTTCAGGAACTGGTTTACCCCAATCCTAAGTCTACCATACTCGCAACCGGTTGACATTCACTATTCGTTTGATCATCATCATACCTTCCTATAAAATGTTTATGAAAAAGCTTTATGTGAATTCGGCTGCTGGGGCTTACTTTTGCTATATATTAGCAGTGGCTTTGTAAAGCAATCTATTGAGAATGGCTTTTGTTCCCATCGTCATTAGGTTTGATTGGTCTACACACCTGAGGCTTCTTTGGGGCAATGCATAAATTTTTTGTTTCCTTCTTTTGCTATATACCATTTCTGCTCTCCTGAATCAGAGAGAGACAATGCTACTGCCTCTAGCGCGAAATGGAGGAAAATGGGAAAACCATACTGAGTATATTGGATGAAGAAGCGGCTCTTAAGCGTCTATGTGCGCCGAAGCCGAGTTACCTCATTCCTATCTACTTTATGTACTCTAGCTAGGCGATGAGCTTCCTACAATCCTATTTTACTGGCAGCCTCCTAAGTCCTTCAGTCCTCTCTAACCTGAGGCTTTAAGAAAGCTGAATTAATGGAACTCTTCATAGTCTATCAGCTCGATTGAAAGTATTCACTTTATGCTAGATCGTATCTATCAGACTTGTCCTATCTTTATTTTTGTGCATTCGATTCCGGGCCCGGTCATTTCGCATGCATGCGGAACATTCCGGCACACTCCCTGCCCAACTTCTATTCGTGCCTGTTTTATATCTTATTTTTATTGTCATCTGATTTTTTCTCATCCCTATTTGCACCATGACACCACTTAGGGCTGCATCGTGTTTCCAGTGGCCTAAGAATTCTCATTTT